TTGCTGCACTATGACCCCAAACTTGAGAAGCCGGGGACACTTCTGAGCCCTATGGGGGTACCTCGGGCTGGCCATGTCATGGCTGCTCTGGGTGGGCGGTTGTATGTAGCGGGTGGGCTAGGTGAGACTGGGGACCTGCTGAGCGTGGAGGCCTATGAACCAAGGACTGATAGCTGGACTCACTTGACGTCCCTGCCTTCCCCCCACGTGGGGGCTGCAGGTGCTGTGGTGCAGGGGGAGCTACTGGTGCTGGGGGGCTACAGCCACCGTACTTATGCCCCCTCCCACCTTATCCATGCCTACTGTCCTGGCCTGGGCCGATGGCTCTGCCTGGGAACTCTGCCGAGGCCCCGGGCTGAGATGCCTGCCTGCATCCTGACGCTGCCCGCTGTGCAGCACATAGCTTTGCTTCCCATGCGGCACCAAACTAAACCTGCTGGGTGAAGTGGGAGCATCGGTGGATGCGGGGAGGAAGGGATAAGAAACATCATGGAAGAAGGACAGAGATGATGCAGAGAAAGAGAAGGCCTTACTCATGATAGTATTTTATTCTAGCACAGTGCTTTACAACTCATAAACTGCTTTTGTATATATGATCTTCATTGAGGAAAAGGTTCCGGAATTCCTGGAGAAAGAGCGTTGGGGAAGGGGAGGCAGCTGAATACCTAGGTAAGGAGAGGAGACCCAGGGGCAAGTCTACAAGGTTTAGGGACCCTGGCACGATTTTTGCTGGGCAAAGTGTGCTTTTCTGGGAAAACAGTGAAGAAGCATCAGTAGCCAAGGTGTAGGGGCCAAGAGAGGACAGTTGGGACAATGATGATTCTGACCAATGGATGAAGAAGAACGTGGAAAGGACATCTGTAGAAGAGTCGAGGGGTGTGGGAGAAGGACTGTAGTTGTTGCTTCTCTTTACTCTCCAATCCCTGAGATACCCAAACACTCATGACAATGTTCTTTCTCAGGTAACCTGTAGACCCAGTCTAGCATTCCCTCAGCCAGACACCACAGGCTGCCCCTAAAAGCCTCTTGGTTTCCAATCTGAGGGGAAGTTCCGTCTGGATCTGGCACAGTGCAGGGGCCCGAGATGCAGGACAATGAGGTGGGAGCACCGCCCATGGGGAAGATGAGGAGGGCAAAGAGGGAGGCGCCCATGGTGGGAAGAGGATGAAACAAGATTTGAGGGCATGTGGTAGATGAAGTCAGGAGACTGACTGGCTTCTTTCCTTCCCTTTGGGGTGAATCGAAGGATCAGGAGGGAAATAGTACAGCTGTAGTGTGAGGTCTTAAGCTATGAGAGGAAGTGGCAGAGAGAAGAGTGAGAGGCAGAGAAGACCCACAAAAGTGGTTCTCCCCTCTCTCGCTTTCCTCCAGAGTCTGGGAATCCATTTCCCTTTTTCTCAGCCAGGGAAAGTTGAGTCAGATGCTTCCTCTCTCTCTTCTTCCACCCTGCTTTTCCTTCCCTTTTTTCCCTCTCTTTTTTCTCCGCTCCTTTCTCCCTCACAGTTATTAATTATCTACTATGTGCCAAGTACTATGTGAGGTACTAAAGATCCAAAGGTCAGGGAGCTCCTGATCAGTACACACTTGTAAACAAATACAAGTTTTCTAGTGGACTTAGAGGGAAGGACACTTGCCTCGTAGCTCTCACAAGAGCTGCTTTCTCTTATACCTCATAGTTAGAGACAGAAGAGCTCAGAGGATGGAGAAGGGAACTCTACCCAGGGGTGGTTCTGTTAGGGAAGTCATCATCAGATGGATATCGTTTGAACTGGATCTTGAAGGCTGCCCAGAAACTCACCAGGCAGAAAAAGAGGAAGGCGCTCCAGTCAGAGGAAAGAAGCAAGTTGGGTGGGTAGTGCCCTGTGTCTCCAGAGCAAAGGGGAAGTCAGTATTCCAGGGGTTCTTCAGAGAGTTCTTCTGCCATTTGCCAGCTTAATCTCTTCTCTGGAAGCATCCTGAAGACAATGGCTTTCACTTAACAATTGTAAGTTCCCTCCCTCCACAACTCACCTAAATCTTTCCTGTCTGGTATTTCCACTTCTGACCCCTGAGTAGCTTAGGGCAAAGAAGGGCCAGTTCTTTCCAGAGGTCAGTTTTCTATCACCATTGTTTATTAAGGCTTTCATGCTGCTAAAGGTGAGAGGAGGGAGGCCCCTTGCATCTTTCTCCATCTTGGTCTGGAGGGGCTTGACTATTTTATTTTTTTTTTTTGAGATTTCATTATTTTAATAAGATTGTTTTTTCTATATCTCTGTTTAGGAACATAGTTGAAAATGAGGAGGGGTAAGTAGGATATATAAGAGAACAGAGAAGAAAGATTAAAGAAGACAGGGAAGAAGGAAATTGGAAGCACTGAGTAACTATGAGGATTGAGTCTTTAGGGTGAACTTCTGTGAACTCGTTCTTTGTGATTTGTATGCAAAGATAGGCTTAAATAAAGGTTTCACCATGATCGAATCATTCTTGTCTGAGTTGCTGTATTATAAAAAGCATTCAAGCTGCCCTGCACCGGCTGTTGGTGTGACCACCGTTCCATCGTTGAGCGGCCTTTGTGGCGTTCGAGCCCGCGATGTGCCCCCAGTCAGGGCTTTGGGGTGCCAGTGGAGGCTGGCACAGAATGCAATGACAACGGCTTCAGAGAGGCAGAATACGCTGCCATCAACTCCATGTTGGAGCAGATCAACTCCTGTCTGGACCAGCTAGAGGAGAAGAATGAGCACCTCCATGCCTGCCTCTAGAAGCTGCTTGAATCCAACCTGCAGACTCACCTTGAGTTCCGTCAGCAGTTCCAGGAGGTCCCCAGCAGTGTGAGCAGCCCCTGGGCTCTGGGAGCCCCTAGCCAGGCCCCAACCTGGCCTCCCTGAGCCAGGCTCTGGCCTGAGCACCACCTGGCTCAGACGTCTTCTCAAGGGCTCGCCCACAGATTTCCTGGTGAATCTGCCTGCCTAGGCCACCCTTCTGGTACTTCCCTTGACATGCATAGGCCAGCCTCCACCGCCTGGCATCCCCTCCTGGGGCCAGGTTTGGGCCTGTGGTCCACACACCACACCTTACCTGCCTGCCCAATTCCTGGGCACTCCCCACTCTGCCCGTGCCTTGAGTGTCTACATTAAACAGGTCTCCAATGCAAAAACAAAAACAAAAAACCTCCAAAGTCCCCTGTAATTTGGTTACTGTCTCCACCACACTACTGAAACCAACCCCTCTCATTGTTACCATGACCTACTTCTCATCAAATCAAATGATCTAAGGCCATCCTCATTCTCCTTCATCTTTCTGCAGGAATTGGCTGACTTGAAAACTGGCTCTGACCCTAAAAATTTTCCCTTCCCCGGCTACAGAGACAGCACACTCTCCTAGGTCTACTCTTATTTCTCCAACTCAGAGAGGTGGCAGAAAGTCAAATCACAGTGTCCAAGAGGGTGTGGTGTCATCCCAGGTGGAGCTGACAGCCAAGGGTCTGAAAGTATGCAGATGAGGGGAGTTAGTGACAGAAGTCTCTAGCTTTCATTATTTTGTTTTTAAATTGAGGTTGGAGTGAGAGGACAGGAAGAGGACGCTGCCCAGTGGCTCACCCTTCAGTGAGAGGGGCCTGAGATAGGCCAGGTAACAAGTTGGGTCCCTGGCCAAGTGCACTGAGATTCAGGGTAGTATTTCAACCCCAGGAGGGAAGTGGAGTGAGAACCAGGAATTGGGGCAGAACCCACTCCTACAGAGCGGGCAATCTAGGGATTACGCTGCAGTTTGGTGGGTGTGTAGAGGTGCAGGACTCTTAGCTTTGGTAAATCAGATAATGAGCCAAGATGTTTCAGATACTCCCCTACTAGCTGCCCCCACACTTTTCCTTCAACCTCCTTCGTGGATGAGGGTGGAATGTCTACTATCACGCTTATCTTTTCAAGGTTGAGTCAGGCACTGGAGAGGACTGAGGATGCAGATTACTGGTCAGTGCCAGTAAGTGTGTTGGACTATATGAGTCTCCTATGCCTAATTCTGGGTTGTCCATGTCCTTCTTTTACCTTGCTTCATGCTCCTCTTCAGAAAGCCCGCCTCTCCCCTATCCTGAGCCTTCAGGACTCACCTGGGATCTAGTCTGACTGTTTTTTTAGCAGCTCTTACTTCCACTTGGATGTCCCACTATCATCAGTTCAGACTCATCATGCTTTTTGGCACTATCATTTTCCTTTTTTTCCTAGACACAGAGATATGTCATCATCTTGAGCTTGTTCTCGCCTTATCTTTTTCTTCACTTGATTCATCATGGAATTCTGATCTACTGAAATAGAAACCTAACTGGTCTCTTCTCCCAAAACTTTCTCTGTCAAATGCATTATATATATTATGCCCTGAGCATCTGGAAAGCTGACAGCAGAAAAGGTTAAAGATTAAAAAATATATACGGGAGGGTAAAAATCACATGAAAATCCTCCTAGCTGCAAAACCAAGCACCATTATTTATCGAGACCGACAGCCCAGGATATAGAAGCAGCAATGATGTCCAGCCAAAAGAGTGAAAAACTGAACGGAAAGACTGTTTAATTGAGCCATGAAATGAAGAGATTTTGGAGATGATGTAATTCAAACTCTTCCTTATGCAGTATAGGAAGCCAAGGCAGACTAGATAATGAAGAGGAAGGCTTTTCAATGACAGGAGTCTTCCAGTGGCATATCTATACATTAGAACCAAGAGACTGGACAAACATCACAGGTTAGGTCTGCAGGCAGGACAGTCATGATTACCCTTTCAGGGCCACAGACTACATTCCAAATCCTGGCTAATTCTTGGGCTCAAGGGATCATAGCTGGAAAAGTGTGAACTTATTACACCTTCTGCTAACACAAATATAAAAAGATACATAAATATGTATATATATTCATGAATACATGTGTATGTCATTTGCAGCAAGTTTTTTTATATGAAAGATAGATGTTTATGGTATTATTATGGCTGATGATTCAAGATATAGCAACTGTATTTCTGATTAGAATAATGAAAAAAAACTATAGCTTGAGAATGTATTGAATTAGGAGAGGGACTAGAACACATCTTACAATCAGATGATCTCTTAGCAGTGCCTCTTGTGAGGGCCTGGGGGGAAGAGTTTCACACTGAAGTTCTTGTAACCTGCCTGCTGATTGGCTTCTGCACCTTTCAGATGGTCCAGAAGGGCTCCTCTAAGATGCCAAATGCTGCTGAAAAGGTGCTTGTCCATACCTCACTGCTTGTGTGATTCTTTGAAGCTGGCAGTGGTTAAACTGAACAGAAACACAAGCTGTGAATCTAAAGGTAATTATTCACAAAGGAGAAAAAAATCCAGTGAAACCAACGGCCTTGATAATCCTCAGGCCCTCACTCCTCTCTCAGCTTCTTATCAGAGACTTGTCCTTCCCAGTTCAAAGTCTATTCTCTCCAGGAAGTTGCTCAAGGTCCCTCCCCCGCAGAATCCTGTGGTTTGTTCCTTAGCAGAATATAGCACTTCTCATAATCTGTCTTGTATTTTTGTGACTTTGGCATGCATCTGTCTCCTTCATGAGGCCATGAAGCCTTGAGAAGAAGGTATGTTTTATGCATTTTCAATACTATCCTTTGTACTACATAGATGCTTAATAGAAGATAATTGACTCAGAGTTGGGGTGGACAGGAAGGGTGAAATAAAACTGATTAGAAAAGGTGAGCAATTTTAATAGGTGGGAGGACCCTTACTAAAGGGGCTTCTAAAGGGCTGATGGGAAGGCACTCCACCCCAGAAAGGAATCAGCCTGGACACTACGCTCATCAGTGGGGAATTGCAGCTTAATGCCACTGATCAACAGTTAGGGGTGTAGGCTGTATATGGAAGAGTGAGTTATCGTCTAAGAACTTGGAAATAAGCTCTATGAAAGTTAACCTGGTGGGGAACAGAGTGCTTCCTCAGCTCTGGTAGAGATATTCAATTGGCAAAACTCCCTAATTTAATCAACAATAGTAATCTGAAGAAAGACTGCTTCAACTCAAAGGAGTGGCTAGATTAGAAAAGCAGGACTCAGAGGAAAAAATATTGCAAGGTGCATTTAGTATTGTTCACTGGAAAGAAAAGCTAAATTTAGACTTTGTAAACATCCTGAAAGTTGAGAGATTTCTTCCGTTGCAAGGCAGAGATAAGTTAGCCAGCTCCCTTAAAACCCAGCTGAAATATCCTTTAGGAATCAATTACTGTCTGGGGGAATCATTCTAGACCAATGGTTTTCAAAATGTGGTTCCCAGATCAAAGATCAGAATCACTATTACCTGAGAGTTTGCTAGAAATGCAAATTCTCAGGTCCTATCTTAGACCTACTGAATCAGAAATTTTCAAGGGGATGGAGGGTTGACAACAAATCTGTTTTAATAAGGGGTTTTTAACCTTTAGCAGGTATCAAAATTGCCTGGAGAGCTTAAAAAATACAGACTGCTGGGCATGGCCTCCAGTGTTTGGAAATGCAGACTCCAGGCCCCACTCCATTCGTCTAGATCAGTGCTTCTCAAAGTTTAACGTGAGTGGGAATAATCTGGGAATCTTGTAAAATTATAGCTTCTGATTCGGTAGGTCTGAGGTGGGGCCTAAGAGCATGCATTTCTAACAAGGAGATGCTGATGCCAGTTCACAGCCCGTACTTTGATTAGCAAGACCCTGGGACAGAGATTCGCAAACTTGTCTGCACAGTAGTATCATCTGTGCAGCTTCAAAAACTTCCGATGCCTGGGCCCTACTCTGAAGATTGTAATTGAATTGGTCTGCGGTGTGGCCTGGGTTTTGGAATTCTAAAAGATCTCCAATGGTTCCAATGTGCAAGTGTTGCTGGCCTTGGATTTCCTTGCTGTTGCAGGTAACCAGAAAGTAAGCTCTAGGTCCTCTTGGTCAATCAAGAAGCAGTGGTCACTTGTTGCTATCCTTCCTGCATCACCATTCTCCTTAGATCCGATGATTCAGCGTTGATTGGATTAGGATGGTAATGCTTGACATGCTGTTTTTTCACTGGTTGGGCAGGTATGGAGTAGGAAGGCCTAACGTTGGCACAATTATCTAAGGTATATTCCAAAGGGAGGGGGCCTTACAGATTTAGGCCTTCAGAAGGGAAGTCCTGTGTGGACCCCCCTCTCTTCTCACCTTCTTCTCCTCAGTATGCCCCTACTCTAGTCTCCTTGCACAGCCTCTTCTTTCAGGTTTCCTAGGTCTTGTGTTCCCTCTTTAAATTCCTCCCCTTCCCCTATAGACAGACCTCCAATGGGAGGTACTGCCACTTAAGGGGTGGTTCAGAAATTTGTGGAGGCTTTTCTTCTCTTCTGGCTCTCACAACAATTAGAGTTATCCTTAGACATTTAATGGGCAGGACTCAGATTGCTAGACGTTCAGCAGCTGTGCAGGGCACTCCCACACAAGGGACATTACTGCATGTCCGATAACTTTGAATGACTTGCCACTCATATGAATAGTTGAAAATCCGTTGTAATTAGGCTCTAACTTTATTTTTAAGTATAAACGCAAGGCAACGTATGCATACACTAAATTTGCTAGGAATGCCACCATGAGTATCATGGAATGATTATACCTTGTTTTGTTCCAAAATTTGCCAAAAACTATTTTGGAAAATCATGCAGGTCTATTCATGGTATTTGAATCACCATCATAACATCCCCATATCATGCTGCATTTGCAGCTGTTATATTCAAAGTGATTTACAGTGAGAAGGATGCATCGGAGTACCTCATTGTGTCTTCCTGTCTGCCCAAATATTTACATATATAAATATATAGTATTTCATAATAAATCACCTTCCTTCTACAATTCCTTTATATCTCTTTAGACATCTTATGAATTTTTAAATTGTGTGTCTAGCTAAAATACATTATTTATAAGTTGTAGTTCAGGATCACAAAGGGGACATAAAATATTTCTTACGAAAAGAGTGTTGGGACTGATGGGGTAGGTGGTAAGGGAGGCATCTAAGGAAGTTAGGTGGGATCTGGCTCAAAAATCTGAGGAGACTCCTAATTCTGAGCTGAAGCTCAGTTATTACCTGAGAATGAAGGGTACTCCTACCCTTAAAAAAGGGATATTTTCCAGAAGACAGATAATTTGTCTTACAGGAGGTAAGCATGTTTCTCCTACCACTTTCTGTTTGGCCCTGTTCTTTATAAAATTGCACTAGCATTACCATCCTTAAGATCATTTTTCTCTTTCCTGAACCTGGTCCCACCTTCCAGGAAACGGTTCTGCATTAGCCATTTAGGATGGCTCCAAGTAAATTCTCTGTAATCCAGAGATCTCTCCCAGATGGACACAGCCATGCTCTAATGCTTTACTCTGCCTTAATTATTTAGTGTCCCCTCCTAGTTGCGGGCCATTACTTTAGACTGTCCATCTCATTTTATTTCTATTTTCACCAAGTAACTTTCAGATAAATTAAGAGTCCCATTATATTTGATAGCAGAACAAAAGGTGTCCAGATCGGCAGCGAACATGCCAAAATCTTTTTCAAGTTAAAGACGAGTTGGGTAAAAATTAAAGACACCAGAAAGGATGAATATAGTGTTTCTAGTAACTCTATGCAACAGTGGTAGATCCCCACAGTCGCTCTGGGGAGACTGTCAAACACTCCTGGGCATTGCCACCTTGTTTAGGGCACAAAATTTCCTTTCATATCTCCATCCCTATACAAGGTTTTGAAGTCCCACACTGATCAGGGGGTGCGACTAAACTCAGGCCCCAGAAAAGCCTGCCAAGCCCTCACCGCATTCGCCTCGCCGGCCCGGCGT